CTTTCTGGTCTTCTTACACCTTACTCCCCCATGTACTCTTTGATCCAGTAACCCCAGCCTCCTGGCTGTTCCACAAACAAGCCCCTCCATCTCTGGGCTCTGGGCATTCTCTCTGGCTGTCCTCCATGCCTGGAATGTTCTCCCTCCTCTACTCCTACTACTGACCTTCTCGGCTTCCTTTGAGTCCCAACCCAAATTCTACCTGCCCAGGAAGCCTTTCCCAGCCCCTCCTAATTCCAGTGCTTTCCTCTGTTAATTATTTCCCACTTATGCTGCATAAAGCTTGTGTGCCTCTGTTTCTTTGCACGTCGTCTCCCCCAATGGATTGTAAGCTTCATGAAGGCCGAGACTTTATTTTGCCTCTTTCTCAAGTGTTTAGCAGAATGCCTTGCACATAGTAGGCACTTCATAAATGTTTACTGAATTGAACTGAAAATAAGGGATGAGAAAGAGTGAGGAGTCAAGGAAAACACCTAGTTTGTGAGCCTCCACGATTGGGAGGATGGTGGTGGCCCAACAGTACTAGGGCCATTTGGAAGTAGAGAGAGTACCAGGGAAAGACAATGAGTTCAGTTTGGACATTCCGGGTTGAGTTTTATGAGACATCCAGTTCTGGATGTCCAATAAGCAGCTGGTGATGTGGGTCTGGACTCGCACCTAGCCGGAACTTTTTTTAACAACAGTGGAAGATATTTTGTTTTTAAAATCATCTTTCAAATTCACCTTTCTTGGTAGAAATCAAAAGCAAAACACCTTCATTTAAAAGTCAAATATACTTTACTACCTCAGTCACAGCAGCCTCACACACTAAGAAACACATCAAAAGAGAGGGCCTGATCAGAGAACCCGCTGTTCAAGGATTTTGAGCAACAGCATCTCCATGACAATACGTACTATACACAGGACTTTTTTAATGCGGTCATCTCTGCTAACGTTCACCATCTGAGTCAGCTCACTTCACAGTTTATTAGGAAGTGTGCAGTAAGCAACGTGAACATGGGACAAGTGAACTATTGATCTCACAAGCAGGACAGGCATGATGCTCCAGAATGAAGTAGCTAATCCCAATAGGAAAGTCCTTTTAAATTCAGCTTTATATACAGTATATCTACACATGACCTACCAGATGTGTGTGTGTGTGTGTGTGTGTGTTTGTGAGTGTGTTTGTTTGTTTAATGCCACAAACAATTGAGAGAGAGAGAGAGAAAGAGAGAGAGAGAGAGAGGAAGGGAGGGAGGGAGGTTAGGGCTAGATAAGTAGACCAGCAAATCCTAAGTATAGAGATGATAACTGAACCGATGGAAACTGATGGGATCACCAAGTAAAACAGTACAGAAGGAGAAGAGAGGATCCAGGGCAGAGCCCTACAGAATGCCTACCTTTAGTGGATGTGACCTGAATGAAGATCCAGCAAAAGAAACTGAAAAGGAGCATTCAGACAGGTAGGAGGAGCACCAGGATAAAACAGTGTGACAGAAATAGAGAGAAGAAAGGATCCAGGAGAAGAAGTCAACCAACAGTGTCAAAGGCTGCAGAGATGTCAAAAAGAATGAGGACTGAGAAAAGACCATTCGATTTGGCAATTAAGAGATCACTCTTAACTCTGGAGAGAAAATTTCGGTGGAATGATGAGACTGGAAGCCAGACTGTAGAGAGTTAAGAAGAGGAAAGTGAGAGGAAGGAAAGACACTTATTGTAGACGACCCTCTCCAAAAGTTTAGCCACAAAAGGGAAGCAAAGATATGGGACGATAACTAGTGGAGATGGACAGATCAACTGAGGGCTTTTTGAGCGCATGTTTCCAGGCCAAAAAAAAAAAAAAAAACCCAAACAAAGGAGTACTGAGTAGACAGAAGAGATCAAAGATAAATGAGAGTGGGAATGATAGAGGCAGCAACTCGCTGGAAATGACAGAATGGAATGAGATGACTTGTGCATGGAGAGGAGTTGGCCTTGGCAAGGAGAAAGGCCATGTCTTCATGTGAGACAGGGAGGAGGGAGGGGATAGTGGCAGGAGGCATCTGGGTGATGTGAGATGAGGAAGAAAGGAGAAAAGAGAACTCTAGGCGAATGGCCTCAATATTTTCAGTGAAACGTGAGGCAAGGTTCTCAGCTGAGAAAGTGGAAGAAGAAAGAACCACAGGATATTTGAAAAGGGATGAAAAGATTTCAAAGAGCCACTGTGATGAGCAGGATAGTGAGTTAATTAGGGAGCTGTAAAAGGATGGCCTTACTACATTGAGAGTATGATCTGGTCAGGACAGAAAACATCAGGTCCTCTCTTAACACGGACACTCTATGCCTATTAATGTCGACTGAAATTTTATTAATGTTGTTTTAGGAATGAGAGAACACTGCTGTTTCATGCTGAGCCCCACCAGCCTATAAACATAGAATGCAACATTATTCTTGAACCACTTAACTGTACTCTCATCCAGCTCACTCTGCTCCCATTTTGTCTAGTAAGAAACTGAACCGTGAAGGATTCGGCCAAATGTCTTCTTGAAATCAAGATACAAGAATGTCATGGTGTCCTCTTGATCTACCATTCTTCTAATCTCATCAAAAAAGGAAATGATGGCAGTTTGATATGATTTGCTCTTAGCAAATCCTGCGCTTATCAACAAGGTTTTCTTTTTTCAAGTGTCCACAAGGTATTCAACAATTTCTTCCAGAGTTTTGTTAGGAATTAATATTCGTGCAGTTTTTGGAATCCATCTTAAATAAATGCTTTTCATTTGCCTCCTCCCTCCCCAACTCCATTTTGGAAAATCAGTATATTTATCCATCTCTTGTCTTCTGATGCCTCTCCTAAGAAGCATGGCTTCTCGAAGATAATGGACGGTGGTTCCAATCTTATCTATAAGTTCTTTTAGTGGAGAGAATGAAAAAGAAGAAAGGGATATAAGAGATACTACAAAGGTAATCTCTATAGACCACAGAGTAAAATATATTTTAGTATGTAAAAGAGAAACTATTTGATACATACACTTTAGGCCTAAATGCAAAAAACTACTAAACCTGGATGTTCTTATCAGGTTCCCTTTGTGTAAAAGAAAACTAAAAAGAAGGAATGAAAGAAAAACACACAGCAAAGAGATAGTGAAATGGTTACTGGCTCTTTAAGAAAATCCTCAGAGAAACATAACTGTAGAAAGCCTGGTGAACACAACATTGATTGGGAGTGAGGTAACCACAAACACCACTGTCTCAAATGAAAAGGGATTCAAGATCTGACCCAGAAAACAAGCATCGTAACCACTGGATAAAATTTTAATGAAAAACACAAGATGCTGTACATACAGGCGAGATTGAATTATTTGCTGTTAGGCCATAAACGTAAGGCTCTTTTAGAAAGAAGAGATGCTAGAAGCCTGCTTTGACCTACAGATCAAGTTTCATTCTATTGATCCATGAAACTCTGGCATCTCCTGCCTTTCGTGCTGGCCTAAGCTGAAGGACAAATCTTGGACAGCAGAAGAGATAACGAAGGAAGGACTGACATACTGCTGGTGGTGTTCACCTTACGAAGACCATTTCTAGAATGGGAAGTCCATGTTTGGCTTTCTTAGACTAGGATAATCCAAATGACAAACACCTCAGCCTTGAATCTTGTATCTTTTCAAGTTTCAGAAACGCCTCTTCACTGATATGTCATAGAATCATGGAATGCCAGAAATGGAAAAGACATCAGAAATCACCTTGTTTAATCTTCTCATGATCAGAAAAATGAGGCCTAAAGAAGTTAACTGAGCTGCCCATGTTCACCCAGCTAGTTCGTAACAAAGGTGCTTTCTGGCTCACTTTTTGGTACTTAGTATAAGTAGATGTAATGTCTTTCTATGGCACTCATCTCAAACTTGCAGGACATGTTACAAATGTTTACTCAAAATAGTTCTCTGATGCCCGTAATCAGCATTAATCTTGAAATCTGAGTAAACATAAATAAAAGGACAAAATGGGAAGACAGCTTTCCTCCTGGGCATATGTTGTGTGTTAAAAGCACCAAATACTGCCAATAAGAGTTATTCAATACAGCTTTTTCCAAAACATTAATTGTCCATTAAAATCCTCCTGCCTACCATTTGGAATTTCAGTCCCAATCTGAGTGCCATTTAAAAATGCTACTTAAGGAAAACTTTCCCTATGTTCCCTAAAGAAACAGACCTATTTGCTATTATTATAATATAAATATGCCTAGCATACTTTCCCCTTGGGTAAGCTACTCTTTTAGGTGAGTCACTCAAATTTGAAATAAAACTCTGAAGTGTTCTAATCTGCACTTTCCAACAATGCGTACATGGCAAGATGAGTAGAAACATTCATGATCCATAGAGAAAAATGGTCTTCCTATTATAGTGTTACAGAAAAACATGTGGGCATCTCTAGCAATTTATGAAGAATTCATAAGTGGTTTTCTGTGCAGAATGCAGAGAAATTTACAGATGTGAGAGTGAAACTGGACTTCGAGTGCATCAGGACACATAAAGGGCCTACTTCAAGGCGGTTTAAACAGCAAATATATACTGTGTGGTGGGGAAGGAAGATAATGTGTGGTCACAGCCCTTCATCATAATAAAGGCTTTGAAAATAAAGAATTAGTGTAGACACTGGCTTGTACCAACTCTTCTTCTCCTCATCTGACTTTTTTATGTCTTCATAAAATACAAACTATTTACCCTAATGAAAACCCAACACAACATGCCACAAGAGTAATTTAAAAGCTAAGGAAGTCTTATTAAGACAAATGGCTTAAGGATCCCACTCCAGAGGAGGCCGATCCTACAGTCTGAGTCTCATTGTGAGCTACAGAACACTGCCAGTGAGAGGCATCTTAGAGACAGCAGAACTGAGTCACAAGCAACCTCCCACCCCAAAAATCTGATGCAATGCCAAATGGTGTTCTCAGTCGAAGGTTCCTGTCTGACACTATCCTAAAGGACAAGGGAGCAGAAGAGACAGCAAGACCGAGAGGCAAAAGTAAAAACATTTTTGCTTACCCAGCAATAACAACCCCGTCACAGGAATGGACATCGCATAGAACTTTACCAAGCTCATACTGTAGCTGGCTCACGGCACCATTGCGATTCTGCATTAAAGAAATTGGGAACTTTTTTATGCTATTGTTGTGACCATCTAGTAACAAAATGTCTAGGTAAGTCTAGAAGCAATTTTTTAAATCTTTTAAATTGCATTACCATTTTCAAAATCTTTCTAACCATCAGGAAAATAAAGAGAGGGGTTTATATATACATGTGTATGTATGTGTATGCATATACATGTGCATGTTTAAGTATAAATATATATACGCAAATAGAGAGAACGAGAGTTATCTCTACAGACAGAGAGATGCAGCTCCATATTCTCTCCCTTAGAACTCAGACCCCTACAGATCAAAGTTCTTAAAATTAGCCTGTTTAATGTCACTCAGGTAATCATAAGGACAAAGGGTCACTGAGGCAGAGCTGGGGGGAACCTCGGATGTTATCTAGACCAGATGCACAATTTCCCTGTGCCTTGGGAACCAAATCAAAATGTAATTGGGAAATGTTTGTCAAAATAAATAAAAACACATTTTTTTGTTATTCGGTTGTTTCAGTTGTATCTGACTCTTCATGATTCCATTTGAGATTTTCTTGGCAAAGATACTGAAGTGCTTTGCCATTTCCTTCTCCAGTTCATTTTTACAGATGAGGAACGGAAGCAAAAAGGGTTAAGTGACTTGCCAGCTAGGAAGAGTCTGAGGCAGGATTTGAACTCAGGAAGATGAATCTTCCTGACTTTAGGCCCAGCATTCGATCCACCTAGCCACCCCCAAGATACAAAACAACATAGATAATGTTAATCTGTAGTTTTCTAAGTCAATTTGGGCTTGCAGGGATCCCTTTCAACACCACTGATTTAGACCAACCCCCTCATTTTAAAGATGAGGAAACCTGAGCGGGAAAGATTAAATAATTTGTCTAAGGACCCTGCATATTAAGTGGCAGGGTTGAGATTTGAACCAAGGTCTCTGTCTCCAAGTCCAACAATTTTCAATGGTGCCACTGTAGTGAGGACCTCATCAGGAGGTCTTGGAAGAGCTGCACAGTATGTACTGTATGTACTAGAGCAGGTCCAGAGACTTAACTCTAGTTTCAGGTTCATCCCAAATGGGAAAGTCCTGGGACTCTCAGATCCTTTTAGGGCAGCTTCACAGATTTCATCCAGAAAATACCAGGCCAAACTTTAGAAGTGATAGGAATAAAATGGAGTTGACCTGCTAGCATAAGGCCAGCACTACAAGATCTTTAAAGCAGAACAGGGGCTGGGCCAGGACACTGATTAAATGTCTGGTTAAGTCTGCTGAGTTGAACTGAACTGAATGAACCAGTGGTCTCTGAGTCTACTCCAATCTAAACCAAGTATAACAAATGAATATCATCATTTATAAACTCACCATGCTAGACTTTAGATAAGATCCTACATGGCAACATGAAACTTAATAAATGATTCCTCATGTTAATTGCAATGTTATTATTTAATCCTTCTTTGCTAGTAGTCTGATGAGAAATGAATCCAAGGAGCCAAGATGGTGGAGTACAAGCAGTGACTTGCTTGAGCTCTCCCCCAAACCCCTCCAAATACCTGTAAAAAATGACTCTAAACAAATTCTAAAGCAACAGAACCCACAAAAAGACAGAATGAAACAAATTTCCAGCCCAAGACAAACAAATCCAAGGCAAACTCAACACCAAAGTTTCCCCAATATTTTGACACTGGTAAGTTTCCATCTGTAGTTTGACTTAATTTGATTTTTCAAGAAATATTTAGTAAGAATAACCTTGATTCCAGAGGGCAGATAATGAAATACATTCTGCCTGCTCTAAGGAGAAAAACTGTGGGTACAAAAGAAGGGTTATGTTGTCAAAGACAGTCAAAGTGTAAGTTTATTTTACTTAACTGTAGTTTTTTGTTATAAGGGAGGATTCTAGACAGCAGTGCAGCATTCGGGTATTGGGAAGTGACAATGAGATTAAAAAACCAAAAAGCATCAATCAAACTTTTAAAAATACAAATAGCTATTAAGTGACCATTGCATGGGGAGGCTCCCTATCGAAAAGGAGAGATAAGGCACATACATGAGCCAATTTAAAGAACCATGGGAGCTATATAGGAGCTATCACAAGATGATTAAGCACCAAATAAATAGGAATGCAGTGGCTAGAGAGATGCCAACGGGAAGGGGCAAGGCTGCCCTTTGAAAAGGCAGTAGCTTCCTGGACACTGAGAAAACAAGGGCCATGCTGTTTGATTTCTATAGAATATTCCAGAATTCTATAGACTATTCTATAGAATATTCTAGAAATTGAGGCAAGACTACATCAATGATAATCCTTCCTCTGGCCTCATTCATGGACAGTTCTTGGGTGCAAAGAGCTTGGTCAGCTACCCTGAGTTACTCCTCACTCTCAGGTCATATCCACACTATAAATCCTGCAACTAGAATTAAGTCATCTCGCTTTCCGAACCCCAGTTTTTCTAATTAATCTCCTTTTACTCTTCATCCCTGCCTCTTGTCTCAGTTGACATAGCTGCTTCTCTTTATAAAGATATTATATCAATCAATGAACATTTATTAAGGGTCTACTATGTACTAGGCACCATGCTTAGTGTTGGTGATACAGACTCACGTCTATGGCATCACTCTCTACTTTTCTGTCAGTCTTGAAATTAACATTTCTAAAGTCCATTTTGTACCTGAAAATGTTTTTCTTATCTACAGCAGAGCAAGAGATTACTTAAAAAAATCTACAATTTACATCTGGAGAGAAATCTTCTCAGTATAAGTAGTTCAAGGACTGTCATAGTTTCTAAGCACACCTTGCCCCAGAAATATTCAACCAAAGTCCTTTAGGCCACTGCATGCACCCTATGGGTGATGATTTTAGGTCTATAATATGGATGCGCACAGATCCTATGGAATCAGTATAGCTGTGTTTAAATGTTCAAGGCTAAAATGCATAAGAGAAAATAACAATATACACTAACTCCTCTGGGATAAGTATTTCTTAATCGGTATACATGGGCTAGTTTTCAGGTGTCCAGATCAAAAGTACCCACTCAATGGTTATGACTTTACTGAAGAGAAGCATGAAAGTAAAACACTCCACTAGCCATAAAAACCAGTATACCTCATCATTAGTAATAAGCAAAAAGGTGTTAATCCAAAAGCCTACCAGGCCCTATGTTCCACATGGGTTTAATCTTTGGGGGTGCGGGTAGGGGGAGGATATCTTTACAGTCTAGTCTCTGCAGACATTTGGGGGTAAATTAACAGGTTGTCTTACTACACTGAGAACATCATTCCAAAACAGTGTACATGGCAGCTGTCTCCTACCAAAAGAAAAAAGTCCTCTTAGGAAAACTTCTAGCTATGATCTAATACTTCCAAAGAGATTCTACAGTGATAAATGATACGGAGTCAAGCCAGTGACGAACAGAAAACAGGACCTTAATAATCTCTTCCTTGCGTTTACTAAGAATATTATTTTCAACCCATCACCTCCAAACTGGTGACATTTTCATTTTTTCCATTTAATTTAAGAATCATTGAAGGTTAAAAAGGAACTCCTTGCATTAAGGACTAATAAACAAAGATTAACTGAATAGCTCCGATTCAGTAGAGAGTCAGAAGACGCTCCTAAATGCTGTTGTGGAAAATGGGGGACGGTTTTGTAAACACAAACCACATGGGCATCAATTCACCAAGAGCTGAGGGAAAAGCTCATCCATCTCCCCGCTGCCTTCACTTCTGGCCTTTAACCTCATGCTGCCATTCAAAGGTTCCGGCTTCCAGTTTCTAATCCTCTACAGAGTTAGCCTCCCACAGGTAACACTGCTGGGCACTGTTCACCTTCCAGTTGGTCCGTAACGTGTGTTCCTTGGCCCGGGATTCTTGGAAGACAAGTTTCCAGCAGGAGCAGTCAGAGATGCTGGTCCCTGGAAGGTATCCTTCCTGTTGGCACAACGTGTACCACAACACTTCATCTTCTGCGAGAACCTTCCACGTCCTGCTCACCTAAAACAGCCCAAGTGACATAAATGTCAGATTATGCAATTATAGAAGCCCACTGCCATCCAAAAATCAATCAACACCTTTATTACCGCCCTAGATTATGGAAGTGTAAAATGCCTCGTTAACAAAATGCTTTGTGTTGAAAAAAATATAAGCAAAATGTTTCCAGTTTTTCTCCCAAGACTTCAAAACTGTTGAACTAGTACCTACAATCACATCTTAGAACATTTAATCAGATTGTCATATATAAATGAGAGGTTTTAAGACTCCAAATAAAAATGCAAAATCTATGTAGTTTCAAATGTGTTAATATCTATATTTTGTAGTTACAAAACATCTTTCATAAGAGACTCTCAGTGCCAACAAGCATTGTATCTTCTCATTTGGAGCTTAGAAGATTGTGTAAAAGAGAAGGAAAGTCATGCTCAGAAATGCAGGGATGCAGTAAACAAGAATAGTAAACACAACCAGTGACTCAGTTATCTGTTAGTAAACCACACTTCTTTAATGCAGATGTACGCTCTCTACTGTGAGAACTTGGATTCTATTATATTCATAGTCTGAAAATACTTTCCAAGTATGAAAGTAGGGCTATAGCAGGAATGAGACTAGAATGTTGTTAACCCACGTGGTTTTTTGGGTTTGTGTTTTTTTATAGGAAATGCAAGCTGCTAAGCAGGGCTGATATAGAGAAATTATGCCTAGAATGGTCCTTTTTAAAACCCACTGGTATCCAGGGGAAATGAGCCATCTTAGAGGCTGGTGCTTTCTTTCAATGTTCCCTTGGAGGAAGGAGATTTACGATGTAATAGAATGACATACAAAGTTGGCTGCATTGCAAAGGATGGACTTTGTTGGCAAGAATCTGAAACTGGTTCAGTCAGATAAATGTTATCTGGGGTCTATGGTGTATTATAGTAACAAAGGATCAAGTGGTTAATGCTTGTGCTTAAGCCTAAGGTTGCAACTCACATCTAATAAAATGAGTCCAGTGACCCACAGTGGATAGTAACCTGTGATCTGTAACGCTCCCTGAGGGACATTTCTAAACATCAAATATACCAGGCCAGGAGAGGTTGGGGGAGCTGAGGAAAGAACAAGACAGACAGAAGCTGAGAGAGTTCTTCTGAATGTTAGAAGAACCGTGCAGTAAAAGCATACCCCATTTAAATATGTACTTGGAAGCACATATGTATATGTATATGTATATGTATATGTTTCCAAAACTGTCAAACCAAAAGTCAAGGAATGAAAATTCACATTAAGAAGGATTCCACATTTTACAAAAGGGTTCACTACAAAGTTTCTTTAAATGATGAATTTCTTTGGTGTGCATAAAATATTACTTCCCTTACAAAAAAATATTATTTACCAGTCAGATTTTTCAGAGACATATCACCCCCCCTATTTGATAAACTCCGGGGGTTCCCTGTCACTTCCATGATTAAATATGAAATCTTGGGTTTGGCATTCAAAGCCCTGCTTAATCTGACCCCTTGGGATCTTTCTACTCACCTTATACCTTACTCTCCTCCATGTACTCTTCCTCCAATTCAATTCATTAAACATTTATTAAATGCCTACTACGTGCTAGGGATATAAATAAGAGAAAGACAGTCCCTGCCCTCAAGGAGCTTACAATCTAATGGGGTAAGACAGTACAGAAAAGGAAGCTGGAAAGAATGGGGAGAGAAATAACAGAGGGTACCCAGAGTGGGGAGCATCTTGTTCCACGGAGTTCAGACCAAGCAGAGCCGACCACAGAAAGTGCAGTGAGCTGCAAAGATCATGTTTAGCCCTCTATAAAGGAAAGCTTTGGGTGGAGTAAAGCGTTCTGTACTCCAGCCTCCCAATGAGGGGAGAGAGGAGGCTGAGGGAGATGGGAAGGTGATTAGTATAGGCATACCTCAGAGATATTACAGGTTTGGTTCCAGACCACCACAATAAAATGAATATCACAATAAAGCGAATTTTTTTTTATTTCCCAGTGCATAAAAAAGTTATGTTTACCTATACTGTAATCTACCAAGTGTGCAATAGCTTTATGTCTAAAAATCTGTGTATGGCTTAATTAAAATGCTAACCATCACCTGAGCCTTCAGGGAGTCAAAACCTTGGGTCTTGCCTCGATGTCGACGGCTGCTGACCGATCAGGGTTGTGACTGCTGACGGCTGGGATGGTTGTGGCAATTTCTTGAAATGAGACAACGATGAAGTTTGCCTCGACAATTGACTCTTCCTTTCACTTGAACACTTAGGGGCCATTGTAGGGCTACTGGTTGGCCTAATTTCAATATTATTGTGTCTCTGGGAATCGGGAAACCTGAGAAGAGCGAAAGAGATGGGGCGTGGCAGATTGGTGGAGCAGTCACACACACACACACACACACACACACACACACACACTCTTTACTGATTAAGTTTGCCATTTTTTATGGGCACAGTTCATAGCACCCTTAAATAATATAGTAACATCAAACATCACTGATCATAGATCACCAAAACAGATATAATAATGATGAAAAAGTTTGAAATATTTCAAGAATTACCAAAATGTGACACAGACAGATGATGTGAGCACAAGGTGTTAGAAAATGGTGCTGATAGACTTGCTCAATGCAGGGTTGCCACAAATCTTCAATTTGTAAAAAAATAAAATAAAAAAAAGCAATATCTGTGAAATTCAATAAAGTAAAGTGCAATAAAACAAGGTATGCCTGTATATGCCTCTCTTGTCTCCCAGCATTTTCACTGGCTGCCCCCCTCCCTGGAACGCTCTAACATGCTTCTCCTTCTGCCGCCAGGCTTCCTTCAAGTCTCTGCTCTGGTGCACCTTTTCCAAGAAGCCTTTCCCAGGGCTCCTTCCCTGAGAGATTGTCTCCAGTTCATTTTTGTCTCTATCTTATGTGTACACAGTTGTTTGTGGGCTCTCTCTTCCATCAGACTGTGAGCTCCTTGACAGCAAGAGTGTGTGGCATATAGTAGGCTCTTGATAAATGCTAGCTGATTGACTACTATATAAAAGTCAACTGCATTTTCAGAGAACAAGGTAGTACAGTGAGAAAATGACTAGATGAGGAAAAGTCTTTAGTCTCAGCTTTTTCTTCAACTAAATTAGGCAAATCACTTAATCCCTCTTGGTGGCCCTCTGTTTCCATATCTTTAAAAATGAGGGATTTGAATTAGATCATCTCTAATGTCCTTTGTAGCTTAAAAATTCCAAGATTCTAGTATTTCTGTGTCTAAATTTCCTCACTTAGACAGCAGGAATAATCATACCTGTCCTACAAGTCTCAAAAGATTCAATAGGGAAAGAATGTGTGTGGGATAACAATATTACCTTACATTTCTATAACACTTAAAGTTCCACAAAGCACTTTCCTCCCAACAATTGCATAAGGGAAGCAACACAGTGTTATTAAGCCCATTTTACAGAGGGGAAAACCTGGATTCAGAGAGGCTCTGTGTCTTTCCCAGGGTTACAAGGCTAGAATGTGTCCGAGGTGGGATTTGAACCAAGGTCTCTTGACAACAAGTAAAGGGAGGGGGGTGGGAATAGGAAACAAGATTTTGTTAAGTGCCTACTATGTGTCAGGCACTGGGCTAAGCACTTTACAAATACTGTCTCATTTGATCCTCAAAGGAACCCCAAGAGGTAAATGTTGTTATTATCCCCATTTTACAAGTGAGGAAACTGAGGCAGAGGTGACAGGACTTGCCCATGGGCACACAGCTAGTGTCTGAAGATGTATTCCAACTCAGCTTTTCCTACCTCCAGCACTACCCTCTCCCTCCCCAACACTGTGCACTGTAGTACCCCTTAGTGGCCTATGGGATTTTCCCTGCCATACTCCCCCTAATGTGGACTAGAAGGAAGAAGGCTAGACTTGACATCAGAAAGACCTGATCTAGCTGTGTGACCCTGGGCAAGTCACTTAACCCCAACTGCCCAAAAAAAAAAAAAAAAAAAAGACCTGAGTTTGAAGCATGCTTTAGTCACTCACTAGTTCTGTTGTATTAGGCTCAAATAGAAGCCTGTTTCCCCATCTGTAGGGTGGGGATGAAATACCGATGGTACCTATCTGATGAGATGGTTGAGGATTAAAAAAGATGATTCATAAAGAGCTTTGCAAACCTTAATGTGCCATATAAATCTCAGTTATTATTAATAACTGACCATGCAAGATGGAATCCATCTACACCACTTGGCACAAAAGTCAACCCCTGTTACGATGAACTCCAAGTAACTCCTAAAAATTCCTTTGTCATCCTGAAGTTTTATTGCATCAAATTATATTTGAAGAAAGTAAACCATTAACTGGGGCTTGGAAATATTTTGTTCGTAAAGAGACTTTTGTCGAAATGGTATATGTGGCGCCGAGCCATGGCCTACACTGTGACAACAGATACAGGGTGAAACCCAAAAAAGCACAGGAAAGTCAAAATGCAAACACTCCTATTCCTCTCTCAGTTTCAAATATTTTGACTGGCAATCTACTTGCTAAACACAAAAAAGCTAAATTAACATATAAAGGGAATTACAGTGTATGAAGCTTCCAAAGGTATGTCAAAGCAATGTCAATCAAAGGCAAACATTGATTCAGCTTCCATATCCTGGCTTCTATAATAACCAAGACACTTGAGTCACTTTTTTAAAAATGCCATATGAAGTCTGGTCTTTTTGTTATAAATACCTGAAAGTCTTCCAGTTTGTCAAATTTCCATTTTTTTTTTAAGTGGGAAGGATTTTGGGGGGTGTGGGGGGAGGGGATGGGGTACTCTTGGACAGGTGGGTGAGGAGAGAAGATAAGGTAACAGGGTAAAAAGAAAGGCTGAGAAAGAAAATAGTGAGTAAAAATAAGATGGAAGGAAATTCACAAATAGTAATTATAACTGAATGTGAATGGGATGTTTATAGCAGCTCTGTGGTGGCAAAGAACTGGAAATTGTAGGGATGTCCATCAATTGGGGAAAGACTGAACGAGTTGTGGTATATGATTGTG